GATTTTATTTCTGATACTAAAATCAATTTAAAACAGATTGCTCAACAAAAAAATCATGAAAAGAAAAACAAAGAATATTTCATTTAGGGCCAAATTTTAGTTTTTAAATATTGTATTTTTCTAATCTTATTATTTTTTTTTATAGATTGAAATGAAAAAGTCCTTATTTTCCTTCAGTTTTAAAGTCTCTCTGCCTAAATGGAGATGATGACCAGGCAGGAAAGTCATCCTGAATCGGTCTTTATTCTGATTGTTTTCAGTCTTTTCCGCACAGAGAAGGACGCTGTGGTGAGCGGCGGTGCAGTGAGCACCGTCGGAGGAACTTTGTCCCCAGGAACAGTCTGTAGCAGATCCTTCTGGGCCAAAAAGCTGTCCAGCAGATTAGCATCCATCCATTCCTCGCTGTCTGCACAGTCTGAACCTATTAGCTCCGGCGTTGGTCTTCTGTTTCTAATCACTTCCTCTTTGGAATGAAAGTCCGGCTTTTATAACTTTTTAACCTCTTAATTTGGGAAATTCTCGCCTATTGGATACACAATTAGAAAAGCAAATAACTGAGGAACTGTAAGTCCAGTTTCTGTATAAATACATGAAAGTTGTGTGAGTAAAACTCCCCAGCTGCATCAGTTCAAACAGGACTCAAAGTTTGTTGTTTTTATTCTCGAACATAAAAGGTCTTTTTTGATCAGCAGTAATAAAGACCTGCCTGCTTGCTGTGGCTGCTTTGTTTACATTCTGACATGCTGCTATATCTGTGTTAATCGTGCTTTGGTGCTCGCTGTGTCCATCAAATGAACTAGGTGGTTGGATTGTAGAGAATCTAATCTTTCTAACGTCTAACATCTATATTGGTAAACATTTTACCAGCCTAATTTTCATGCATTCTAAGTTATTATTTGTAAACACTTTAAAACGGGTTTTGAGAAGTTAAATTGGTAACATAATCGTCTTCCATTTTGGACTGAGTAAAACACGGTTCACTGCACGTCCCTGGACTACGGGTCCTCAGCGGTACCAGCCACGTACCATGTCCCGGCAGCCTGACCCAGTCTGGTCTGGACTGAAAGCATTTAGCTCCTTGTTCTGGGAGGTCAGTTGGTTCTTCCACAGTTTATTAGTCACCAGAACCAACTGGTATTCAATTATTTCAGTCCAAACCAGCCGTGGTTCCGGTCGGGTCCAGCCGTGGTTCCGGTCGGGACCAGCCGTTGTTCAAGTCGGGACCAGCCGTGGTTCCGTTCGGGACCAGCCGTGGTTCCGTTCGGGACCAGCCGTGGTTCCGGTCGGGACCAGCCGTGGTTCCGTTCGGGACCAGCCGTGGTTCCGGTCGGGACCAGCCGTGGTTCCGGTCGGGACCAGCCGTGGTTCCGGTCGGGACCAGCCGTCGTTCCGGTCGGGTCCAGCCGTCGTTCCGGTCTGGGCCAGCCGTGGTTCCGGTCGGGGCCAGCCGTGGTTCCGGTCGGGGCCAGCCGTCGTTCCGGTCGGGACCAGCCGTGGTTCCAGTTAGATCCCATATCTCTGGGTTAAGGGCTGACATTAAGCTTTAAAAACGGTTGTTTTTTTGATCCGATTGGATCACTGGTATTAGAACTATTTCTTAAGCCAGAACCTGAAGTTCTTCAACATGTCGGAAGGATCCAGGGAATCCGATTCCACGCCATCAGGATCCAGATGGGGTTCCCTCATGAAGTCTTGGTTCTGACTCAGACGCCATGTTTGGTTCAAACTTCCCCTCAGTTTGTGACACAGATGTTGGATCTGAGCTGAACCAAGAGGCGAGGGGTCACCAAGCTCCTACATGATGATGATGAACCTTCATGGTCGCCTGAAGTTCCTCCGCTCTGCTCCCTGTGTTGCAGATTTACTAGAATGTCTGGACGGGGTCCTGCCAAGCCTTCTGGAGAACAACATCCAGGTGTGGACCATGAGGAGCCACTGTGAGCATCCACAGGTGCACACTCTGCCGGACAGGATAGCGGCGGCGTCCGATGAGCCGGTACCGGCCGACCTGCGCGCCGCCAGCTCCCTGAAAACCCCCACCCTCTACATCTTCACCTCTGGAACCACCGGTGAGTCTGAAACCAGGAACCCCAGGAAAGATGGCCGTTTGTTGAGTTGATGATAAACGATCCATAGTGACCCGCTGGTTCCTCTGAGGAAGACGCCTCGTCCAAAGGTCCTCATTATGCTGAAGGAGAAGAACCGCTGGTCCTCCTGATGCCAAGAGTCACACTGACTGACTAGGTCTCCTCTGTCCATAATGTCCTGAAACGTCTCCTCTGTCCATAATGTCCTCAAACGTCTCCTCTGTCCATAATGTCCTGAAACGTCTCCTCTGTCCATAATGTC